CTGCAGGGTGGGCTCGTCCTCTGTGTCAGTGATGGTGACAGTGGCCCGGGTGACGTTTCCCAGCAGAGCGTAGGCTGGCATGCTGAGCTCCACAGCGAAGCTCTCCGTGCCCTCAAAGACGTTGTCATCGGTAATGACGATGGGGCAGGCCTTGGTGTCCTCCCGCTCCTCAAACTGGACCTGCAAGGCAGCAAGTGGCCGGCTCTCTTTGGACTGGGCTCGGAAACTTTCGCTCCTTCCCACCTGACCCTTGCCTGAGTCACTGACCCTGTGCACGGGGGACCCACCACCAGACCCACCACCGAGGAGAAAAGGCTGGTGGAGGTCAAAGGCAGCAGCAAACCCCTTCTCATCCCAGTCACGCTTTTAGCCCTTCGCATGATCAGGAAGGACATTCCTACTCAGGCAAACCTGTCCCATCGGTGGTCTGTCAGAACAGGGCTACGAAGCGTATCCGCCAACATTAAAAACTGATGGAGAAAAGAGACCCTCTTCTGAAAGCAAATGAACCACACATTTTTACAAAGCAGTCGCCTTTGTGTTTTTATCAGTTCCTTCGTCCAGCCTCGACAGCACGGATGGCTTAGGATGGATATTAGGAGAAATTTCTTCACTGAAAGGGCTGTCAAACATCGGAACAGGCTGCTTGAATCACCATCCCTGGAGGTATTTGAAAGATGGGTGGATGTGGTGCCTAGGGACATGCTTCAGTGGTGGACTCCGCAGTGGGAGGTTAACGGTTGGACTCAATGACCTTAAAGGTCCCTTCCAACCGAGACAATTCTTTGGTCAGACCTCCCCTTTCCCGGTGTCCCCAACCTACCTGCCCTGCGTACTCCACGTAGTCCTGCTCTCCTGGCTGTGAACTGGAGCTGGAAGTGGCCGTTCCCTGCTCAGTGCGGCACAAGACAATCGCGTACTGGTTGAGGTTACCAATCCGCCTCACAGTGACGCTCACAGACCCTGCGCTCTCTCTCACCTTGTAGCTGGAAACGTATCAAGCAGATACAAATAACGTGTTGGGGAGCAAACCCTGCATGGTTACGCTGATACGGAGCACCCCAGACTCAGGCTGACTGTTGCCTCCACAGGAAATCTGAAGGACACCACTAATCAGGGACTCGGGCAACGCTGCTCCACGGTTTAACCCAGCTGGCGCTTCTCTTCACTGACATGTACACCAGTTCCCACTTCCACACTGGCTGCTGGTGCCCCCTCCCCAAAAC